CCCCCCCCCCACTGACAAAGCACTGCAGGTTTTTTGAAAACTATTCTCCTTTATTTACTGGTCAGAACTGAGATCTGCCATACAAGATGAAGAGCGTCAAAAATTGAAAACAGAGCTAGAATTACAGAAAGAACAAATCGACACCTTAACTGCAGAAAGAGAAGAACTTAAGGAGCAGTTATCCGAAAAAGGTTAGTTCGACTAAAGAAAACATGTCTATTAAAGTAGGTTTTAAAATGATTTAAGATTTCTAGAGAGTTCACCAGAACGGTATGTGACATGAAGAAAGAAGTAGAATGAAAACGAAACATTCATTTGACTAAGCTACTTATGAATTTGAAAGGGTAGTGAGTTTGCATTGTAAAGTTTACATAATGAAACAAAACTACTTAATAACAGATTCATTTAATATCATTTAGCTTTCGAATCGACGTGTCTTAATCTTTACTTAATAACTGCTCTTGGTGAATTATTTAAAACTTTTTGGTATTTTTTTTTTAGAAAAATTTCAAAATTTGATCCTTTTATAGAACCTCTCCTCTTTCCTACCATCTCCATTGAACAATTTTACTTACGTAATTACAATCTCAGAGCTGACGGGGGCTAACGCTCGGAACGTCAGTTTTAGAAACTCGTAGTGGTGGCCAAGTTTCATTGTCAACTCAGTTGATAAAACCAAATCATCATGTTATACCCTACCGTCGACGCAGCTCTACAGTTTCTCTCGAAACTTACCCCCTTTATTCGTTGGTCAGAACTTAGGTCTGCCAGACAAGATGAAGTACGTCAAAAACTAGAAAATGAGCTAAAATTTCTGAGGGAACAAACCAACACCTTAACTGAGAAAGACAAAGCACTCGAGAAGAAGCTGTCCGAAAAAGGTTAGTAACAAAGTAAATGTGTCTTTTAGGTGGGTTTTCTAAAGTTTAAGTCTTCTAGAATGGTCGAATGGCAGATGACATAAAGCAGGAAGTGGAATGAAATACAAACATCCAGTTGATAAGATGACATATGAATTTGAAGAGGAAGTGAGTATTAGATATATAGTTGAGAAATGAAGCAGCCGACTGTTTAATAACATATTCATTTAAGTTTTTGAATCAACAAGTCTCGAATCTCGCTCGATAGCTGCATTTCAGGATTCATATTGTCGTGTTAAAACTTTCTGACATGTTTTAAATCTAAAGTATATTTTATGGAATAACATTTGACCACCATCATCGAAAACTCCCACATACATCGTTGAAATATCAGGGAAGAGAACAGCCAGAGGTAGACAGTCAGAAGTTAGGCTTGCCAGACAAGATGAAGAGCGTCAAAAACTGGAAAACAAGCTAAATTGTAGATAGAACAGACCAACACCTCGAGCGAGAAAAACAAAGCCCTTGAGAAACAGTAGTCCGAATAATGTACTTACCAAAGCGAACGTGTCATTTTTAAATGTATAGAGACTGAAATTAAATCTGTTTGCTCCTCACTCAAAAGAAGGCTTAGTAGATCAAATCGAACGATCAAGCATTATAAGTTTTTGGCGATTAAGAGTCTTTTCGCCTGTCGCAACACATACTCATTATTTTCTTTTGATGTAATTGTGTTCCTCTCAACGCATCATATTCCTTTTTGAAACACTAGATTCACAGTTGGCACACCGCGACCAGCAACGAGGAAAATGGAAGGAAGAGAAAGCTGAATTCATAAAAAGGCTAAAAACCCTCCAACAAAACTTAGACGAAGTAACACAAGCTAAGAAGGATCCTGAACAGCAAGTGGTGAACCTGGAAGCAGAGTCAATAGCAAAAGAAAAACGAGCGAAAGAACTGGAAGAGTCTTCAGCCTCAGTTCAACATACTCCAGATGACTATAGACCAGAAGAGTCCTGTGAATGGGTCATATCACGTAACGAGATTATCCTGACAGATCAGAACCTTGGGAAGGGTGCTTGGGGTAAAGTTCTCCTTGGGAGGTTTAGAGGTTGCAAAGTAGCTGTGAAACAGATTCATGGCTTGATTCGTTCCTCCTCTTTCAAATCCACGTTTGAAAGAGAAATGAATATTGCTTCAAGATGCCGCCACCCTTGTTTGCTGCAGTTCATTGGTGCAACAAACGATGAAGGAACGCCTTTGCTTGTAACAGAGTTAATGGAAACCAGTCTACGAGCGTTCCTAGAAGCCCAGTTTCCAACTCTCTCTAATTCAGGAATTTCTCTCATTTCCTTGGATGTAGCACTCGCCCTTAATTATTTGCACAAAACTGAGCCTCTTCCCATCATCCACCGCGATGTAAGTAGTGCCAACGTGTTGTTGTGGCGACAGGGTCCGCATTGGCGAGGCAAAGTGTCAGATTATGGAGCCGCCAACTTTATGCAGCAGACCATGACAATCGCTCCTGGAACTATGGTTTACAGTGCGCCTGAGGCTCTTACTCCAAATCATACTGTTAAGGTTAGTATATGTTAGTTCACCGAAAAATTAATGAAAATGAATTGAAAACACCTACCTCATTACACGAAGTTGCTTAATTTGCGTCGCTAGGATTTTAGGGATTTTTGGAAAGACAATTTTTTTCACTGAAATTGTAACCTACAAGTTGAGTTGAATCAACCTTTATAGAGATAATAGTGTCAAATTATGTGCATAGGTGGGGGAGAAGCAATGACCAAATGGTTAGTGCGCTGCACTGTGGGTCGCGAGGTCTGGGTGCGAAACGCAGCGGGGTCGTTGCGTTGTGTTCTTGGGCGAAACATTTTACTTTCACAGTGCCTCTCTACACCAAGGTGTAGAAATGGGTATTAGCGAATTCCCAGGGAGGGCTGATGAAATGCCTGGGGGGGGGGCAACCTTGTGAAGGACTGGCATCTCATCTTGGGGTGAACGGTAATCCTTCTAGTTACTCCATGCTATGGTAAACGGATAAGGTCCTGTTGCATGGTGCATTCCGCTCGAGACAGAATTTACCTTACTTTTTACATACATAGGTACTGCAGTAAATTTGAAAGTACAATAATTATGTTTTTGATGCTGTTTTTTCGTCAGATTGATGTGTACAGCTTTGGAGTCCTACTCTGTGAAATGTGCACGGGAATATTTCCACATCCTGATCTGCGCGAGAAACATATATCCCAAGTGACAAACCAAGAGTTTAAAAGTCTCATTCAACGCTGTGTGCTGCCAAACCCTAAGAAACGCCCAGATATGAAGGAAATCTGTGCTGAAGTCGAGGCCTTGTATGACCACCAATCAGAAAGCGAGGGCGATAAACTCTCAATTGGAGCCATAGAGCAAATGTTGAGAGGTGCTGTTAGGGAGACTAACGATGGAGAACAGACGAGGGAAGTGCATCATGAAGCAATAGAACCACACACGGCGAGCAGCATACAACCAAGTCAAGAGTCATGTGACTGGACCATCCGACGTGATCAAATTGAGCTGACAGATGAATGTCGTGGCAGAGGATATGTTGGGAAGGTCTTTGAAGGCAAATACAATGGCTGTGCGGTAGCAGTGAAGCTAGTCCATGAGGTCCTCCTTTCCCCTGAATACCGCCGTTTGTTTGAACAAGAGATAAACATTGCTTCACGATTCCGTCACCCTTGCTTACTTCAGTTCATCGGAGCAACTAACGATGAAGAATTTCCTTTGATCGTGACAGAGCTTATGGAGACAAGTCTACAATCACTGTTAACTTCGCGATCTCTATCGGAAGCGGAAGTCTGCGCTATTTCTCAGGATGTAGCTGAGGCACTGAACTACCTTCACCACAGAGAACCATCTCCAATCATTCACCGAGACGTCTGCAGTGGTAATGTGTTGTTGTGGCGACAAGGACATCAGTGGAGAGGAAAGTTGACCGTTTCAATCGCTACCACTTTTCAGCAAGAAATCATGACAACAGCTCCTGGAAATATGCTGTACAGTGCACCAGAAACAAAAGGAACAAAACAGACCGTCAAGGTTGGTGACCTATAATTTTTTCAATACAATCTTAAGTATCATATAGTAAATGGTTTGAACTAAGAAATAACAAATAACAGTTAATCGTTTCCTCTAATCATTTATGCAGGAGCACGATCAAGTGTCTTCTCTCCAGATCGTGATATGATCTTTTACTCCTCAGGGGCATAAATGTTTTCTGTTGAAGATTCTCAAAAAAAAAAAAGACTGATTAGAAACTAAAAAACAGATTAGCAACGTACTGCAAACTTTTAATTTAGTTAAACAACTCAGTACAGGCTCGTGAAAAATGTCAAAAATAGTTACCACCCAACAAACGTTGACTTCTTTAACATCAATGGCGATCAATGAGAGTTCCGCTTCAATGTATTGACGGGTGAAAGGTAGCCGGTCACAAAAACGAGCAACACTTAAGTTCTGCAACCGATTGTGGCCTGAAAAACATCATTTTAGTCTTACAAACAGCTTTTCTCTGATGATGACTCCTCCTCAGATTTTTGATGATGGTTGTCTTGGAAAAGGACTATCATCATCCGAATGATAATATCACATATTCTTGAATAGTCACTAACGAAAAGATCCCACATCCAAGCTCGTCCTGGATGAGAAATTTGCGAGGGGGTTCTTTTAGCCGTCAAAAATCGTAATAACTTCGTAGTGTTATCTTTTGTCGAGAGACGAGACCGTGGCATTAAAGGAAGATTCTGATGTTTAATACCATTGATTCAAGGATGTTCTTGTCTCTACTAGGTGGACATCTATAGTTTTGGTGTTCTCCTGTGCGAGATGTGCATCGGGGAACTACCAGATCCTGAGCAGCAAGGACAACAAGTTGCAAGAGTGAAAAACCACGTGCTTCAAGAGTTGATACACAAATGCCTGCCAGAAGATCCTGAGAAGAGACCAGGGATAGAGTATGTCGTTACTGAACTACGCCACGGAAAGTTACACTAATTTCAGTTGGTCAAATTTGTTTTTATCAGCCAGTGTCTTGAAAAGATAAACATGAGGCGAACTTGCAAATAGCTCCATACTTAAAAACTTCTAAAGATCCTGAGAAATTTACTTAAAAACCTTTTAGTTTAGATGATAGCTGTTAGCTTACTTCTACAGTGTATATATCCGATAAACAGACAACACAACATGGCAGACAACGTGAACGTTTGCATGGCCGATACCCGGAAAAGTTAGAAATCATTGAAACATTTTAAAAGCATTAATATCATTGACTAGTGTAGTTCAGTATGTATTGTAAAAATTAAAGAGGAGGTCCCACTTTATTTGCCACTGAGTGCTCTTGGCCCTCAGATGAGAGACCCTGGGAACGAGGTTGCATTCCGAAAACTTTACGAGATATCAAAAGCACATTTCCGAAATATCCTTGGCCTCATTTTCAAAACGGGGCCTGGTGCTCAACCATTCTTGTGAAAATGAGTTTAATTGCATGTGAATGAAAACTTATTATTATATCAAAGGATGAGCACAAGGACTCGTTTTGAAAATGAGGCCAAGGGTAATTCGGAAATGGGCTATTTACGAGCAATCCTTTACGAGTGAATCTTTTATGGAGAAATATCAAGCGAAACCTGTTATATCAAACGAGTTATATCATATTATGTTTACATGTAAACGCAACCGTGTATTTCAACGTGATCGAGAACCCAGTAGAATACCAGAAGCTATACTCTGAAATGTAGAAGAAAGGGCAGAAAACTGAAGGAATTTGCTTATGAGCGTATTCATCCAAGCATACCGAGTTCCTTTTGGCTACGTCATTATGTGAAGGTTAGAGGAGTTACAAAGAATATTTATAAGCTTAATACGGAGAGGGTAAGATTAAATAAAGTTACAAAACATGATAAGAAGTATTATTTTGTTGAATTGTTCAGTGAGGGTATATCAGAGGATAATGAAATTGAAGTATGGAGCAAGGTGGTATTTATTAATGTTTTCTTGTAATAGACCCTTGTGTCTTAATAAGAGTCAGACACACGCATCAAACTACTGTAAATGTCAACTGAGTTCAGATGTTGAGAAAAATCCTGGTCCTACTCCAATGTACATTGACCCTGGCAAAACAATAATGACACCATATAGCGAAGCTAATGAATTGATATTTGGACAAAATTCAGGACAACAATGTGTTGCAATGAGTTTATGCTCTATCGTGTCACTTGATCAATTTAAACCTATAAAAATCAGAGAAAATTTAGTGGTGAACTATGATTATCAAGAAACTATAAAAGAAAGATATCAGTACTGTACCTCCTTAGATAGAGCCTTTAAATCATTTATATCTGAGAATTTCTTGACAATGGGATGTACTGCAGTTGCTATCTATAGTAAAGGCAATGTAGGCTTCAAAATATTCGATTCTCATGCAAGGTATATTTATGGTAGATACCATCCTCAAGGTACCTGCGTGCTACTTGAAGTATCATCACTGGATGGCTTTGCACATTATTTTCAGAGTATACATAATAATGATGTATTTGAGTTGAAAAGGATTAAAATTAATAAAGTTTAAAATAGCACCTTTTTCAGAGTGATGCCTGTGAAACCAGAAAGTTCAATATGAGTTGTGCTGTGGCTGTCTCTTCACTCTGTTACTCTGTAATTAAATCCTGTAGTTATTTGGAATTCAAACATCTTATCTGATGTTATTCAGTATGGCAAAAGATTATATGAAAATTCATATTTGAGCAAGTATTTACCCTCAGATGATTTGCCAAAAACTGTTGATGTTTGTGGAACTGAAGTAAGTCTAGATCTTAAAAGTGATTACTGTGAAGGAATATTATTCATCGAAAAATTTTAACCACGGCACTATCTTATTTCACAACAACTTCAAACAAAAGAGGCCCGAGTTCACGCAGCCATGCGTCTAGTTATTTGAATAAATTTAATATTACTTGCAAGACTTGTTTTCTTTGCTAAATTGTCACCAAATATTTTTGATTGGGATTGTCCCTTTACCTGTAAATGCTCCTTGCCTTGTGCAGCGATTTCACAAATTCGGTACCTCATTCAAAGTTTGCTTATAACTGCCAGATGTGTCTCATGATTACGGTAAACAAGCATTGGGAAACGTTGTGGTGTGTCGCTGCCAAGTTTAGGCAAAACTTTTTGCATATCGGGGGATTTAGGGCAGGGAGCAATAAATTTCATATCGTTTCCTTTCATTCTTCTCACCATCATAACTTCCTGTAGCGAGATATCGATGACATCAAAGTTTCAATGTTCCATTTAAGACTGCCATACTTTTCCTGATAAAGTATCGTAGGAATATATAGTGCTGACTTCACGTAACGTTGCTCCATATAAATATTCTTTTGCTATCAAAATCGTACAGGACTGGAATAGCCTACCAGATTTTTTTAACAGATGAGATACTTGGAGAAGGTGCTCGGGGAAAACTTCTCCTGGGAAGATTTAGAAACTGCAAAGTAGCTGTGAAACAGGTTCACAGCTTTATTCGCTTCCCCTCAGCCAGATCCTCATTTGAAAGAGAAATGGAGGTTGCTTCAAGATGCCGCCACCCTTGTTTGTTGCAGTTTATTGGGGCAACAAACGATGAAGGAACTCCTCTGTTTGTGACATAGCTAATGGAAACCAGTCTACGAGCGTTGTTAGGCCCCAGTCTCAACCTCTCTCTGTTCCAGGGATCTCCATCATCTCTTTGGATGTAGCACTCGGTCTTAATTACTTGCACCAAACTAAGCACCTACCCATCATGCACAGCGATCTCAGTAGTGCTAATATAACGTGTTGCTATGGCGTCATGGTCGGCAATGGCAAGGCAAAGTCTCAGAATATGGCTGGGCTAATTTTATTCAGAAATAATGACACCTGGGCCTGGAGCACGGGTATATAGTGCTCCTGAAGCCGTTACAGAAGACTAACAGACAGTCAAGGTAAGTGGTAACATTGCCGAGGAAATGAGCTTGTTGTCTTGAGATAACAGCCTCCACCAAAATGTTTCTAAACACTTCACTCACCTCTCCATGTTGATTGATTTTTACAAGAGGTCCAATGAGAGGGAAAATGTTTAAAGAGTTATGAAAAGGATTGTATGACCAAACGAGTGAAATCGGGAATACAATTTCTGGAGGGACATGATTTTCCTGAAAATCAACAAATTTTGGTTAACATCCTAATTTTGTTGCACCTGACCCTTTTTCCTCGAATAGCCTTTTGCAGTTAGAGCAACGCTAAAGAGAATTTGATACAAGAAACAACCCTTGACAGATTTTATCTAATATGTAGCAAATAATGTTGGGTCACTTGCATGGTAAATAGTGTACGCTGTTTCGCTCGTCCGTTACTGCGTTGATTTTGAAACAAGAAATATGATCGGATTTTGATTTTGTTGTCATCAGATTGATGTGTACAGTTTTGGAGTTCTTCTCTGTGAAATGTGCACGCGGAAATTTCCGGATCCTGACCGTCGAGAGGAACAAATTTCCCAAGTGACAAATGAAGAGTTTCAAAGCCTCATACAACGTTGCGTACAGCCAATCCCTGAGGAGCGACCTGATATGCAGGAAGTCAGTATAAGTATTTATTACACGACTCGGGCAGTCAGAGGGCCAATAACTAAAATCAACCAATCAAAATGCTCTATTGCCGGTCCAATATTCTCTAAGTATTGGACCGGGCACTGTCCCGAATGGTCCCGAATGATACCACATTTGTGTCCCTTTGAACTTCAGTCGTATAATTATTCTGTTATTAACCAAGCTTGCTCGGGACCGTACTGGAAGAATATCGGCCCTCGGTCTTTTTTGTACGGACCTCGCTGCGCTCGGTCCGTACTGTCAAGACCACGGGCCGATATTCTCCCAGTACGGCCCTCGCGCTTGGTTAATAAGAAATATGTATTTTTTTTTTAGCAATCTAGTATGTAGGTTGGATTTGGATTTTAATAAAGTTGTGTTATAATAATTGTCATTTATAACGGATATAACGCGCGCTGTCACGGAGCTGAGCTAAAGCTGTCCTGCCATCGGCAAATTTTTACTTTGTCCAACCACTTCCTGGGCTTCTCCCTTGACTTCTTTTTTTTGTTAATCGAAAGTGAAATTTCGGAACAAGCGATTTGGCAAGTAGCAACATATATATATAACCATGCTAAGTGCCGTAGGATGGAGGATTTTCGTCTCTGCTTACGGTTTAATAACGTCAACTTTCATAATGCTATGTACATTGGAGATTTTGGCAGTATGCACATTGGAAGCGCGAGTCTATGTAGTTTAGTTGTAGAGCATCGGAACGCGGAATCTGAACTTCTGAAGTTCGATCCCTCATGGGGACTTTCTTTCTCCCACAGCTTAAGTCTTGTTCAACCAACCAGATCATTTGAACCATTCTAATAAGGATTCTGATTGGCTACTATAGCGTGCTTCATCAGAGCATATAACATTCTGACGAAACTGTTATTCAATTTGGAAGTAACGTTTATTTTTAAAATTGAAAGTAATACGTGGGAAATTTAGCGGATTCTTTATTATAAAACAAATAGAAAAGTCTTGACTGTGCTCTGATCTGTTGTAAAGCACGCAGGAAACACTCCACTACGTCTCTACACTTCTTTCGTGCTATAGCCGCTTCCTGTGTGCTTTACAACAGAACAGAGCACAGTCAAGACTTCTCCATTTGTTAAATAAAACATTTTAATTTATCATTATCATTATAATTAATGACAATAAATACCTGTTAACCAGTTCTTTTAGATTGAACTCTCATCGTCTTTAAACGGTATAAAGTGGCATTATGATAGCTTTCATACGCAAAAATTCTGCTCTAGCTGAACACTGTTTACATTCCTGCCAGGAAAGGAAGAGAAGAAGAAGACGAAAAGACGAGAAGAGTTCATAAGCGAGATGGGTCGGACACAAACAAAAGAGACGAATCCACGAGATGAATTACGCAGTGAAGAGGAGACAATCACAGAACTTAGAAATCAACTCTCATCCTTGAGAGAAGAAGTCAGACATAATCGTAACTGGGTCATAAATAGAAATGAGGCTCAAATGCCAAGGACCCTTCGGAGAAGTTTCGGAGAAGGAGCATGGGGGAGAGTGGTTCAGGGGACATTTCGCTCCTGTAATGTTGCTATAAAAGAAATGAATGATAACATTGTATCTCCCCTTAACATACGATTGTTTGAACGAGAAGTCAACATGGCCTCGAGGTGTCGCCATCCCTGTTTGTTGCAGTTTATAGGAGCAACGGCGGACAATGAAAGACCGCTGTTTGTGACGGAACTCGTGGACC